TGTAGGTGACCCTGCTCTGGCAGGAGGGTTGGACTAGATGATCTCCAGAGGTCCCGTCCAACCCTAACCATTCTGTGATTCTGTGATAAGAGCATGTGTTCTCCCTTTGTGTCACAGCTCTGCTATGTCGTGAGCTACAGAGGAGGCTGCTAAAGGACTTGTTAATGCCGGTGGTGAAAGCCCCTGTCTCTTTGAGACCCATTTTTGTCAGGACGCTCGTGGATCATCAGGCATCAATTGTACCTGAAGCAGTTTCTGTCCTTTGGATAGTACCAGGAATAACACTTTTGAACACTTTATGTTGGCCCAGAAAAATGCTTCAAACCTATTTTTGGAGGCAGAGAACCCTCAAAATATTTGACCCACTATCTTTGTTCTCCTACTTCATTCTTAAGATAATCTGACATCTAATTTAATTTGTGGTTCCAAACAGTATCGTGAACCAGTCACTGGTTCGGACTCTTATGGGATTTGAGCACATTTAGATGTGCACCTGGAGTGCATTTTAAATTGGCTGTGAACCAAACCAATGCATGGTAAGTGGGGGTGATTAGGATATTTAGTTAAAAATTGTACTTAGCAGTTAAATGAATTAACAGAACTATGTTATTTCAACTGTTTTCTTTTCAGAATGAGTAGTACTGTTTTCTTTCACTTTGCTACTGGTAGGTGTTTGAAGATTGTGGTTGTACTGTATTTCCTGCTTAAGGATTCTGTTACTTGATGGAACTTAATTTAGCCTTCGGTAATAGGGAAGGCTTCGGAACCTATGGAAACATGCCTTCTCTAAGGCTAAAGATAACTGTTGGAATTCATCTGAACCTTTTCCTCAAAGTGCTTCCTGTTCAATTTTTATTTTTTAATTTACTTATTTTTCTTCTCTGCCAAATGCATCTTTCTCTTCAGCTGCACTGCTAGGCTTTGTAAGGGAACTCTAAAATTCTTCATCTAATTTCTGTTGTCTGACTTCAAGTAGAAACTCTTGTTCTGATTTTTGTTTGTAGCAATGTGGCGGGAGCTAGTGATCTTCCTCCCCTCTGCTGCTTTTAACAGAGTGGGAAGATCAGAGGACCGTGAGGGAGTGCACAAGAAAGAGAGCACTAAGGTGATGTGTGTGTGTTCTTCTCATCCCTTTTCAGATTCTTGTGGCCATGCCTGCAGTTTCTGCACCGGTATGAAACATCCTTGTTGTTTTTAAGTCAGTCTCCACACTGCTCTGGCATTCACTTCTCAGCCAGCGGGCACTTGCCTGTGCCCAGTGCTTCATAGGCATCATGGGGTGCTGGAAGGCAGAGGCACAGGTTAACAGGCAGCTACTGCCTTATAGATTAAGGGCTATTGAGAAAGAGTCAGAAGTGAGCAGGCAATTGGATGCATGAGTGAAGGAAAACGTATTTAAAAACCCCACAAAATTAAATGCCACAAAACTCTGATGATATAAAAAGCTAGGAGTATTTAATGCTGCCTCGATGCCTTTTCCAGATGTGTTTTCTGATTATTTTTTTCCCTATAAATACTCTATGTAGTTAAGATATGCTCCCTTAATACCTTCAGTCTTAGCTCTCCTGTTTGAATGATGCCCCAACAGCATCATGGTTTCTGGTATTCTTACAGCGCAGTCTACACCTTTGCTGCAGTTAGCTCAAGTTAGCTCTTTCCGGAGGAATTAAAATCAGTGTAATAATTTGTATTGAGAAAGCAGCTCCTCTGTGAAAACAGCCAAGCTGCACAGCATGACTCAAGCAGCACAGCATGATTAGAATCCCACTGTGTTACTAGCCCAAGTGTGAATGATAAGCTTCAAGCCATATTCCTTCAGAGGCTAGCTAGACTGAATGAAACTTAAACTGTGAATGTTTATAAGCAGAAGAACTGGGTTAACAATAGACATAGAATTGTTAGAGTTGGAAGGGACCTTAAAGATCATCTAGTTCCAACACTCCTGCCATGGGCAGGGAAATACTTGAGTCATTCTTTAAGCAGTGTTGCAGAGAATATAAACTTAAAAGGCATACAAGCAAAGGAGTTCTGCAGGTGCTTAAGGAAAGTTTTGGACTTAGATAAATTAGAGGTATGTACATTTCAATAGTAGGTTTTCTTCTAACCCTGATAATGCCGTCTGAGATACTGCCTACATTTACTTTTGCAAAATGTTGGATGCCAGGCATATGTGCTGACAGCCTTCATGGCAAGAAAATACTTTGATATTTCTCTGCTGGCACAGCCTCCAGAACTCCGTGTTGAATGAGGCACAGATCTTTCAGGAATGCAACTGTCATTTGCAGTGTTTATTTGACCAACTGCCACAAGGAATCACTCTATAATTCAGCCCAGTAGCATGTAGTTTAAAGAGTTTTATTTAGAACATAGAAAGAGTGCAGTTTAGTCCAGAAGATGAAGACAGAAACAGATCTTATCCCTGAAAGTTGTTCATCAGACTTGCCTTTGACAGGACTCATAGAGGTATTTCTCCCTTAGTAATCCTGGAGAGTGAAGTTGTATTTCTTGGTTCTCCCAAAATCAAATTTTATACTCTGTCCTGTAGAGGAGTATGAGGCAGTCCTGAGCAACTTTTCCTTTTGTATGAAATACGTTTTTGTAGAGTTAGTGAGATCCATGAAATGTGTGAAATATGCCTAAAAACACAGCAAATAATTAGAAGCCTACCGTTTGATTTATGTTAAATTGAATTTTAAAAAAACTATGTGAGTTTTGTAGTGCTGGGGCTAGATTGTATTAAGATAGGGATTACTTTATGGGAATGACAAAATGATTAGGCTAATTTGTATCATATGAAGAAATTTGGAATATGGAGATAAGGGGAACAACGCAGTCTGTCCATGGATCGTCACAGAGAACGTTACTTTGCTTTCAGCTCTTATTCTTTTTGCTCCTGTTGCCACAATAGAATTCTTACATTTGTACTTCATAAAAGAATTTCAGTATTTGACATAAAAATGTGTTGTAATGCAAGTTTATTTTTTTATAACCCTAGCAATATACTGGTATAATTATGAGCGTTTCAAGAAGATGATGTGTAAGGAAGTTGGTGCACATGAACCAACATTTTTTATTGCTTTTACTTCAGGAGCAGCATCTGGCTCTGTAAGTATATATTTTTGGTTTTAGTACTACTCATTATTGCCACTAATGATCTATTTAAAAGAGGAATGATTTTATATGATTTTTTCAGAAATGGTGTATGTATTGGGGTGCATTCACTTTAAATACCCATGGCCTGGCATTCAAGCTGATTAGGTATATCTGAATAAATTACAGTGTTCAGAAATACAAGACTCTTAATAATATCAGGTGCTTAGAATATCAAATCTAGTTCTAAATTGTGTGCACTTTAATTTACAAATTTACTTAAATTTTAATTGTTTGTGCTCTAACATTAAAGCTGATTTATTTTCCTGACAGATTGCAGCTGTCATAACTCTGCCATTTGATGTAGTGAAAACACATAGGCAGACTGAACTTTGGGAGAGCGAGACCTTAAAAAGTAAGTTGGTTTTGTGTTTTATACAAATTCAAGTTGTATCTAAAAACTTTTTTTTCCATTGCTTGGGACCTGGACCAGTGAGGGACTTTCATTACTGTTAGATCATGGCTTTAAGATTACAGACCACTAAAAAGGCTGAGTACCCAAACAGTTTCTGCTCAGAAACAAATTTGAAGGTCCTAGTTCAGAAAGATGTTATGAAAACTTAGTGCTCCGTTTTTGACATGAGGTTTCATTCTCTCAGGTAAGTTATTTTTTTTCTGGTGGAATTCTTGAAAAAACATATTTATGTTTCATTGCAGAACAGACAATCAAAGAATGTTTACGTTGGAAGGGACCTTAAAGATGATCTAGTTCCACCCCCCCTGCCATGGGCAGGGACACCTCCCACTAGACCAGGTTGCTCAGAGCCCCATCCAATCTGGCCTGGAACTCTTCCGGGGGTGGGGTCTCCACAACTTCCCTGGGCAACGTGTGCCAGTGCCTCACCCCCCTCACAGTGAAAAGATCAGAAAAGCTTTAAATAGTTACTGTGTTTCAATTCTTCCCTTGTGCTGATGAATATAAGAATTCATTGCTAATACCACTTTGAATCACAGGTAGCTGCCATATATTAGGCTGATATTAACTAGATTAATATATATATAAAATTTCATTATGGTTATCTATAATTTGTACTAGTTTAATTCTTTCAAAATCCAGTTGCTGTTAGAGTTGGACACTAACTATGCATCTACATATTGTCTCTCTGAATGTACAGCTATGAAGTGCTGAATGTATTCTATGAAACTGTTTTAACTTTTGTCTAGGAAAAAATTTCTTAACCACTTTCATATTACGGATCAATGAAAACAGCATGTGCAGAGTGAAATAGCACAAAAAAAATCCTCTGTTTAAAACAGTTGCATATGTCTGCAATGCAGATTGGTTCTTGATGCCGCCACAGTTAGGTTGCTTACAGTATCCGATTTAGCTCCAGAAGGGGCTGCAATCCACGTCTCATAGAGCTATACTTTGTTTAACTTATAAATTTAGGGGGGATTTGATTTTTGTAAACTTAAATGTAAGGTGTAGTGTCCTAGCTTAATTATTAAATTCATTCTTATGATTTATTCATTCTTATGATATCAATTCTCAAAACTTACCTTTAGATTCAGTTTAACATAAAGGCAAGTCCTTGGTTAAAAATCTGAATTGTGATGATCTTTCAGCTGCATGTATAAAGTGACACGGAGAAGGACTGGCTCATTTGAAAGCTAGGTGACTTTTTTCAACTATATCGGTTACTCTAGTGAGGAATATTCTCTGTGTTCATATATCTTACTCCAGGTGTTACTACAGGTTCTTCCATGTCATGCTGTTTTAACTTGAGTATTGTGTGAATTTGCATGCTGTATGAATTTAACATCCTGTACAAATAGTATGGATAAAATTAACATAAAATTAATTAAACCTAATAATTACATCTGAAGTGACTGTCTCTGATTTCTAAAAATATTTTTCTGTGGCATTGTATATATGGCTTCATTCACCGTTTTCTTGTACTGTATTGAGTTCCACAGAGGGACTGTACATCAACCTGGGCAATTATGAGGAAAATTGTCGCTAAAAATGGGATTACCGGATTATTTGCTGGTAAATCTTTTTATATCTTTCTAAATAAAGCCAGACTAGAGAGAAAGTTTTTTAATCACTAACACGTGAGTATAGGTGTTAACATGCATAAATTATATAATATTTCCATCTCTGTGAACACTCTCAGTTATGGAATAGTTTGTATATATAAAGCAACAGACATGCATACATATATAGAGAATTTTGGTAATCTCTTCACAAGTTACTAAGCTACAGCTGTCAAAGATGGACATGAGTCCAAACCCAAGATACTTACCAGTGTTGACAGCACTGCGTTGGTTCATTGGGATTCCTTGCGTGAGTGGCTACACAGTTGGTTGAAGACTTGCAAGACTTGTGTTTGCTGAAAGACATTAAATAGCTTTACTTGCTGTACAGCTATGACATAGCTGGGTAACGGGACTTGCATGTTTCAGAGCACTGATGCCAGCAGAATGCATGACACTACAAAGTATCAATTTTATTAGATATTTTGGGTGGAATGTAGTTCGTAGATTAAGATACTTACATTTAGGTCTCGACACGTGAGTAATGGAGCATAGAGATGTTCTCTTGATCAGCCACCCTCGGTTCAGTCACCCACACTTGGGTGAGATGCCTTGGGGGTATTCTGCCTGGCTTCCCGCTACTATTCCGAAGGGACACAAGTTTTTCGTAGGTTATGCATCATCTGCACTAGCGCCATGCAAACGTCTTTGCATTTCAAGTGGAAGCAGATGGCTGTATACAAGTGGATTCAGCCTTATTTTCCTACCTCTAAGTAAGCTGAATCACTTTCTAAACTCCATGGACAAGATCACAGTTGATTGTAATGGGAGATATTTAATGCCTAAATTCTATTACAAATAAACATGTGACCAGGATCCTTGCATTTTAGTAAAGGTGCTGTAGGTTTTAGGAGACAGTGGCAGAGGAATCGCGCTTTTTACTTAATAGTTGGCTTGAAGGGCTCAGACACATACCTATGGCAGAGGATACAGGCCAGCCCTTTCCTCCCTAACTTTTATCCATTTCAGGATTCAGGGCTTCCCAAACCTCTTGTTGTCCCACCTGAGAGGTCACAAGCCTCTGCTTGTCCCACACCAGCAGCAAGTTTGCACTGACACTGTGGGGAGGGCACAGTCTGCCCCTAGCACCACCTCTTCAGTGCTGGAGCAAAGTAGCCCTGCAGGTCAAGGTGCTCCACCTCGGTGGGGAGACAGGAGGGGCAGAGGCACAATGGGCCTGAGGCAGGCAGCCACGCAGCGTGGCAGAGATGACCACATAAGGTTATTACAGTGGTAATACCTACAGCCAGTAATTTCAGTATTTTGAGGAACTGGACAGGTAGAATCCCAGTTCTACGCTGATACACTACGGTATCAACTTATTGTGAGCACTGAATGGTACTACGGCGCTTTGGTCTGAAAACAAATGATAGTGAAAACTTTCCTTTCTCTTCTGGGCAGGTATTATTCCACGGCTGTTTAAAGTTGCTCCTGCTTGTGCCATAATGATCAGCACATATGAATACGGAAAGTCTTTCTTTTCTCATTTAAATGAAAAAATGAACCAACGTCCTTAATTCTCCGATTGTGTGAAGTCAAAATATATGGTGAAATATATTGTGCAATTTGAATTTGTCAAGGCATTTTCTAAAACTCCCGGTGAATTTCTTCCATTATACTTGGTAACTAAATACGACATCATTTTTAACTGTTTCACAAAGGACAAATTCACTTTTTCTTTTTTCTCAAGATTAAGAAAATGCACATGACCCTTAAGTATCATTGAAGGTTTTGTGACTTCTCTTGCAGCTAGAGAGAAAAAAGGAAAGAAAGGAGAACAGGAAGAAAAAAAAAAGGTGCTCTGACTGTTCTTCAGTGATGATTAAAAGGCAAAAAAATTCAGGCTGGACAGAGCAATGAAGAATAACTGCCACTGTGTTAATTTTCAGTCTGACTAAAGATTTTTGTTAGGGATTTAAAATTATGTTTAGAAAAGTTTTGGGCTTCCAATTATATATGATTATTCCTCCATAAGGAGGTTGATATAGAATGAAATAAATGCTTATTTATTCTTGCTTAATACATGTTTAATTCTGTGCATGTTTTATTTTCAGCTCTATATTTTGTGCAAACATATTATAAAAGTCTTTGGCTTCTCCTCAGGTTTATTTAAAATGAAAAATCATAGAATGGTTTAGGTCAGAAGGGACCTTGCAGATCACCTAGTTCCAACCCCCCTGCCATGGGCAGGGACACCTCCCACTACACCAGGTTGCTCAAAGCCCCATCCAGCCTGGCCTTCAACACTTCCAGGGATGGAGCATCCACAGCTTCCCTGGACAACCTATTCCAGTGTCTCACCACCCTCACAGTAAAAAATTTCTTCCTAATATCTAATCTAAATCTATCCTCTTCAAACTGAAGCCATTCCCCCTCCTCCTGTCACTACCTGCCCTTGTAAAAAGTCCCTCTCCAGCTTTCTTGTAGCCCCCCTTTAAGTACCGGAAGGCTGCAATAAGGTCTCACCACCAGAGCCTTCAGTATTCCTGAACAACCCCAACTCTCTCAGCCTGCCTTCATAGGAGAGGTGCTCCAGCACTCTGATCATCTTCGTGGCCCTCCTCTGGACCCACTCCAACAGGTCCATGTCCTTATGTTGAGAGCTCCAGAGCTGGATGCAGTACTCCAGGTGGGGTCTGAGTGGAGCAGAGGGGCAGAATCACCTCTCTCGACCTGCTGGCCATGTTTCTTTTGATGCAGCCCAGGGTGTATTTGGCTTTCTGGGCTGCGAGCGCACATTTCTGGCTCATATTGAGCTTCTCATCCAGCAACACCCCAAGTCCTTCTCCTCATGGCTGCTCTCAATCCATTCTCCGTCCAGCCTGTATTTGTGCTTGGGTTGAACTGGAAAAAGTACATTGTGCTCATTAGAAACTGAGAGAGCGTGGTGAATATGGTGATAGGTGCTGCAGTGGCCTTTTAGTTTAAGCTAATACTCCAAGAAATTAAAGCACACCCAGGCACTGAAGACAACTGGCTGTACAGGTGTTCCGGAGGAATGTTCCCTCGCGTTTTTGGGAGGCACAAGCTGTCACAAAGCTCTGTGGCAGGGCCAGGCTCCCTGCAGGGGAGCATTCCCCATACACAGCTTGTATGGAAGCACCTGGCTGTGCAGGCCACGTCTGCTGGCATAAGCACCAGTGGTTCTGTGCCAGTTTGACTCGGAGGTGTATCTGTCTGGAGGCAAGAGCACATTTACTTTACTGCTGTAGACGCAGCCATTGCCTGGTACGGTGTGCTGCACACACGTGGTACGAACAGTTGCAGCATGTCCCTTGCCCATAGCCACCTGACTTACTGACTCAGAGCTTCCACTGTAACATTTTTTTTATTTAATATATTTTTTAACTACCCTCACTATATCCCTTTCTTTATGCATTTCCAATAAAGTGCTTGATTTTTTTTTCCCGCCAAATTTTAATGAGGGGTGTGTTGGTATAAAAGCAACTCAGTAGTCATGTCATTAAGACACCAACTTTCAGGTGTGCTTTACCCAAGAAACGAACTTCAGTTCTATTCTGCTTTGAAGAAAGTATCCCAGCATGTGTTTGGCCTTGGTGAAAATTCATCACATGCTGAAAAATGCTCTAGTTGTAAAGACATTAGCTGCAAAGTTACAGCATGTGGTGCAGGCGAGAGGTACTGCCATAGATATTGCACACTGTCCCCTCATTGTGACTTTCAAAGTAATTTTACACTACAACTTCAAAATAAGGCCTAAGAGAAAGAAAGTAGCAACAGCAGATTTTGGACCACATTGAATACAAAAAAAGTGTCCCTGTTTTACAAGAAAATAATTTGCTATAAGCTTGGTAATACCGTAATTTGCTGAATGGTCTTATTTTATCCTGTATGATTAAAACAGAGACGGGAACTAGTAATTAGTGATGATACAAAATGTTTAATTTACATGCAACATTTATGGAACGTCAAGGCAACAAAACATATAGTTTTGGCATTTTATCAATTTTTTGGAAAAATGATTAATGTTTAAAACTGAGAAAGACACACATGACTGATTTCCCATGCACAAAATGACACCCAGGAACTCACAGTGGTGTCAGACCACGTAAAAGACTTCAGTTAAATGACACATGAATTTCACACCAGTAGCTCCAAGAAAAGAGCCATCAGCAGACATGACTGAAGATCATGATTATACCCCCTCCTAAATACTGATGTAGTGGGAGAAGTGTTTAACAGCAAACAAGACCGATTAAATCACTGTACCTTGATGCAAAATGTTAACTTGTGGAATCCAGATTCCCTCATTGTATTTGTAGTTAAAATGCATCTCTAGTTTACAAATTAGTATTTAATAATGATACTCAACTGCCAGGAGAGAACAGGTGCTTAATGTGATAACACAAAAACCCAGTTACATGAAGGAATGGACATGCTGATAGTGTATGAAAGGATTTAACGGTCAGAGTTTATTACAGAGAAATTAACTGCTTGAAATTAACTACATGAGGGCTTGAAAGACAAGGTCTGGTGGATTTTGCTAAGCTGCTTTAAAAATCTGCATTAAAATGGCATCAGTAGTTGTTTACCCTGCCATGGATGCAGTAACCTCCAGCACTGGGGACTGAAGAGTTGAGGAGAAGTATCTTGAACCTCCTCCAGCTAAATCCAACAGTGCGTTGCATTCCAGAGATGCGTAGCCTCATACTAAGAAAGGTTAAACATTTCCTGGAGTTTTTAGTAAAGGTAGGAATGAATCCTCTTTCTTTCAAGCCCACCCTAATATGACCAGATTATAGTAGTAGTGCCAAGGTACCATTACAAGAGGCAAATCAACGAAAACCGTACAGTGTAGTGACATACTGTAAACATCTAAGAGTAAGCAATAATTAAAAATCTGTCTTGTATTGCAGCTACTCATGTAAACAATTTATGAAACTTCTTTGGCACAAAAAAGCATTTTCCCTAGCACTTATAAATACAACGTACTTACATGCATTTAAGTTTTGTTTAAAAAGTTACTAATCATACTGATAAGCATTACCTTGATTAGCAAAATTCATAGATAAAGGATCCATTGTATCTTACAAAGAATTAAGAATATAGTTTGCAATTCAAAAATTAATTTGCAAACTTTGAACCTGTAGGGTAATCTGGAAAGTTAGTTTCATTTAAAAAATGTCTCCCTTTTTTTTTTTTTTTTCTATCAGTAATTTAAATCAATGGCAAGTAATTTGAGAAAACTGACATTAAGTTCTGCCGTATTACCTAATCAAGAAAAATACCTATTGCACTACTACAGGAATGAGAAAAATCTTGAACATGAGAATACTGTCATTACATTGTCTTTGTTTCCCCTTTTTTACTCTGCTTGGGATCTTGCCAATGAACACACAGTCCAAGCTTCCCGAGGTGCTAACCCCACCATCCTTAGTCCCCATCTCTCCAGCAAGGCCAATAAACCAAGAAATTTCTCATATAATATTTGTTGTTGTTTTTATAATCTCGTATGTCTGTAACTCAGGTCGCTCAAAAGCATTCAGTGAGTCTCCTCAACATTTCCCAATTGCCAAGTATGCTTGATTTAGATGATCGACTTACATTTGTTATTCACATGCAACTTCAAGAATTAGTAAGAGTGCTTCAGTGTGATTCTTCAGTGTGATGCAGACATCTCCTAAGTGCCAGGATACTAACAGGAATGCAAAATCTAACATTGAGTCAACTTGAGAAGAGCCGTTGATAGGTTAAATATGCTATTTGAGGTCCTATGCAACATACACAGATGATAAGCTGGATTTTTAGGTAAAATAGTTCTTTGCCTACAAAGACTGGCGTTAAGGTTTCCCTGTCTGTTCTGCGAGAGTTGATAGATATTTAAAGCACTGCAGGGAAGCACCGTGGCTAAAGTAGTGCCAGGCCATTGCAAGGAGAAACAAAGGTCATGGCAGTTAAGTACGGGACTGATTTCCAACTGTTCCATTTTAAAAATCAGTCATAAGCATCAGATTATATGTCCTGTACCTGACCAACAGCTTTAAATAATTCAAGACTGAGATAGAAAATCTGAAAAGTCCTGTGGGGGCAAAACTAAAGTTTGGATGAAAACTGACAGAATTTGTGAATTAAACAGGTAAACATGAAAAGAAAAAATAAACCAGCTTATTTTAACTCAAAACTAGCAGTCTTCATTGCAAGTCATTTTATGGAACATAAACCAAATGCATACAACACAAAGCTCTTCCTTCTTGTGTGTATCTCAAGATGGTGTTAAGCCTGGACTTGTCATCTCTGTTGTGGGACTTGCAAGGTATTCACTTGATTTCAGACTTGTGAGAGATTTGTAGCTTGCTACTGATGTAAGAGAGCCGCAAAGACCAAGCAACGATGGAGTGTCTTCCTTCCCTGTTAAGAAAAACAAGAATTAAGCTAATAATTTTTACAGCACAAGATGACCTGACCACAAAAAAAAAGAGGGAATAAAAAAAACCTTTTTCATCTACAGTATTATGAATTACATATTACTGCTTCAGCACATGCATACTTCATAAAT